ACCGGCCGTTCTCACCGTTTCTACCGGCCGTTCTCACCGTTTCTACCAGCCGTTCTCACCGTTTCTACCGGCCGTTCTCACCGTTTCTACCAGCCGTTCTCACCGTTTCTACCAGCCGTTCTCACCGTTTCTACCCGCCGTTCTCACCGTTTCTACCAGCTGTTCTCCCAGTTTCTACCAGCTGTTCTCACCGTTTCTACCAGCTGTTCTCACCGTTTCTCTCAGCTGTTCTCACCGTTTCTACCGGCCGTTCTCACAGTTTCTACCAGCTGTTCTCACCGTTTCTACCGGCCGTTCTCACAGTTTCTACCAGCTGTTCTCACCGTTTCTACCAGCCGTTCTCACCGTTTCTACCAGTTGTTCTCACCTTTTTTGAACTTTCATGTGGGCTCATTGCGACTCATTTTTTTTAGCACTGGTCACATGTCTGTTTTGCATTTTATACTTACTATGTAAATAAGTTATACTATATACCGGTACTATAAATTACATATTTATTATGTAAGTATAAATTTTATGAGACTGATAATTAACAGATTTCATATCACTTATTATGTGACTGAGTTGTACCTGTGTTGTCCAGATAAGCAGTTTCGTGGTCAGAGATCTCTGGCAGATTATCCATGACTTTATGTAGTCTCAAGTGATTCTCTCCCGACAGGTTTACAGATTTCACACACACCTTAGCTCGCTGCATGGCCACCTACAACACACACACAGATTATGACCGAGTACTTCCAAGTCCAGGAACACACTCGAGCAGTGGACGTGAAGTGGATGGTGTTACCTTGAGCAGCATGGAGATCATAGTGATGACAGCGTCCAGGTAGTCCTGCGTCCAACCTTGTGTTTTCAGCAGGGTGGAGCGATGCAGCAGCAGCTTTAGTTCCTACAAACACACGTTTTGAAGAAGAGCACAGAAATATTCAAATTGTGCATGATGAAGGTCTGCTCTGGACTATTTTGGTTTCAGCGGTTTATTCCAGAGATTTATTGGTTTTTCCATGAACCGATGGACTGAAGGTGTTTATTGGAATCCGTAGTAGCAACAACGGACGAGTTTAAAATTAAAATACACTCAAAATGTAACGTTTGTTTTGGACAGGACTATCATTTGGTGAAACAAGTGGTGCGTATTGTCCCCCGTCACTGAGGGATTTGAAAAGTGAATGTTTGTAGTTTTCAAAACAAGTTGTTTTTCTGGACTGGAGTTGAACAGGGAATGAAGTAAACCTGAACCTTTTTGGTGCAAGATATTCAAGCAAGTAGGAGTTGCACTGTGGAGAAGAACAGAGGGTGGTTTTTTGTCCAGAATATGTTGGAGGGGGTCTGTTTCGGCTGGTGAGGGTGGCGTTATAAAAGTAAAAACGTAATGATTTTTAACATTTATTTACATTTTTACAGTTTAGGACAAAATAAATGACCATTTTCATATAAAGAAGAAAAAAGTTAATTGCTTAATCCAATTTAATTAAAATTTTAACTCTGCAGGAATATGCGAGTGCTTTAAATGGTGAAAAAATTAATTAGGCATCACTTGAAAGGAATAAATAATAAATTACAGTGAATAAAAAGTAGGCCAGGTCAGGGGTTCTCAAAGTTGGTGGGTTCAGGGACCCCCTCATAACCCTCACGTTTATTAAATAATTTTCTTCAGTTTGTCTCCTTAAAGCAATGGAAATATTTGTGTAACATAAATACTTAACACCTGTTCTTTAATAGTATTAATACAATTTTTATACTTTTAAACATGGGGTATTTTTCTTTAAAGATGCACTTAATTATTATTTTTTAATTTCAACTTCCAAAGATTACAGTTTTGAGAAAAGCAACTGTATCAAAAACCACTTTAAAACTTTACCTATTCACATAATGAACATAATAAATGTATCGCCACGTCTTCAAATCATTACACAAAACTGAACAGAATCACAACGGCAGTACTCGTTCCAAGTAAATATTTGTACCAAGTTCTAGTCTGAGCACAGATGGTGCAGCATACAGTGAGTAGTAATAATCTTTGGATCGACGGAGTTAATCCGTGCTGTATCCCCTCTCTTTGGACCAGTCGCTGCAGCGGCGCCATCCGTACAAACAGCCACGCATTGTGGCTTCTGTAGCTGTTCAGCTGGATCAGCAATGACAGTTCATGAGCTGCTGCTGAAGGTGGTGCATCATGAGGCAGTGGGCTACTGGAAGTGGCAGGTGCAGCAAATGGACTGTACCTATACAGCTCCTTTCTATGTTATTTCAAGATACTCAGAGCTCTTTACAACAATCTGTGCCTCATTTACCCGTTCATGCAGCTCTATACTAGATCTCTACTAAGATAATTGAACAAATCATTCTAAAGAGACTAATCAGTGCTTTATCACATTCGAACACTGATGGGACACACATCAGAGACAACGAGGGGTTCGGTGCCTTGTCCAGGGACACTTCAGCATGTGACTGCTGGTGGATTCGAACCCCCAACTCTCGCATTGGAGGACGACTGCTCCAACCACTGAGCCACAGCCGCCCGTAGTGGTGGGTGGTGCAGCTGGACTACTGCTAGCAGGTGCCGGTGAAGGATTTGCAGAGTTTAAGTCCAAAGTGATTCTGACAGGCCCCAGAAAGAGATAATTAGATCACTTCAATTAAATTATAACGACGTTACGGTTTAAAAGTTATCACATCATACAAGTTCATGCACAAAACGTTTGGAACATGGGCGTTAAAAGGCAGGAAGAAAGTAAGAATAAAAACTTGTTTATTAATTCATATCTTCATCCAGGTTCAGGGTTCTTTATGGTCATTCACATCATGTGTGGTACATGAGGTGGAACAAAACTGTGTACCGGTACTCAAGGTCCCAGTTACATCCAACAATATCAAAATATATCAAAATAAACAGTAAATAAGGATATAAACTAAGAATTACGCTAAACACTAACCGTGCAAAACAATACGCCGAACAACAGCAGCACGAACATGAGTCTGTGTGAGCAGATGAGTACAAATAAATACTGCAGCATGAAACAATCAGCAGCATGAGATCAGCAGCATGAGATCAGCAGCACATATCACCAATCAAAGTGGCCACTAAATGGTCTATTGTTCCAGCTTTATTTGAAGTATATTTACTTTATAATTAAAGTAGAGTTCTTGTGATGGCTTGTGTTTTTAGTAAATGAGGTTTTATGGCACAGAGGACATCTTGTGACAAAAGTACGGTGCACAGTAACTTTGCGGTTCGTTTTTCGCAGACTCACTCTATCGCGGTTTAAGTACAGTAAGTACATAATATTTTTTTTTAAACTGTAGTCAATTTGTAGTTTTCTTTCATTAAGCCTTCACAGTTTTGCCAGTCTAAAGAACTACGTTACCCAGAAGCCATCAGCTCACTTCCCAGAAGTCAACACTGCTTCCAACAGCTGCTTGCTGCAAACGGAGGGAAAGTTTAGCAACGAAAGTCAGAAGTAACAATAATCAGCTCACAGAGTGGCAGGAGGAAAGTATCAAATAATCCTGACGCTGAACTCGTCCTTCAAGTTGTACCTTCACTGCTGAGCAGCAGTCCTGTGATCTGGACTCAGTGCGACCCGGACTTTTCTTTTCATCTATCGGGTCGGACGGAACCGAGCCGCTCCTGTTCTGAAGAGCCTTTGTAAGTAAAATGTAAAATATAATGTTGGACTGGAACCAGAGCTGTTGCTGCTCTGCAGAGCTAGTAAGCAAAGTTTAGTAACATATGTTGTTAAAACGACGTAGGTTTAAGAGTTTAAAACATTGCAAGCGTGTCGGAAGTGTTTCTAAAGCCTTAATATAATGTTTACTGTATTTGAACTTGAACTACTGTCTCCCTACTTGGTGGTTTTTCACTTATTGCCGGGCTTCAGGGGACGGAGCCCCCGCGATAAACGAGGGCCTACTGTAACACAGTCCAGACAAACTCAAGGAGCTCAGGGTGTAAAGAAATAAAGGTGATGCAAGTTTGAAGTATGAGCTCAGATACAGGCCAGCTGTCAGTGTGCTCATTTATTATCCTAAGAATTTAGAAAATGTTCTTCAAATAGGTGGACAATGCATAGTTGTTGCTTTTTACAATTCTGGGGGTGCATTATCCCAGACCCCTAGGACTGCTTCACTCTACTGGTGCTCATTGATACGTGTAATCAATCAATCAATATAACTGTATTGTCCCCAACATTCCCTGAGATGGAGGTTTATCTTGGACATCTGGCTCAAACGTACAAAACAACACGAGTTAAAAATGCCATGAAACTTTAAAAAGCTGTGCTAATCCTTAAATACACGATACATTACGAACATGAAAACGTCTTGGCACACGCTGGTTTGTCATGTGAGGCTACGCTTATGAAGGACACTCACATCGGAGGGAACAACTGACTTTACGTGTCCTCCTTAGCCATCAGCACATGTTGGGAGATTATCCGTTTTAACTGGACAAACTGGTTTCTAAAGATAAACTATAAAAGACTAAATTATTTAATGTGGGCCATTTGGTCTTACCACCACCACCACTAATAATAATAATATACTAATAATAAATCTCACAAAATTGTACTTTGACTCAAAGCGTTTTTATTATACATGACATTTGAATTTTTAATACAAAAAGAACTCACTAAAAAGGTAAAACTCGAGTGTGGTTCAATAAATTCTTGCTTCAGAACATGAAAGCAAGTGGTGCCCCTTCAGAATAAAATTACTAATAAAAATTCAAGATCTGAGGACCCTTTCCTCTACACAATTAACCCACCCACCCCCAGGTGGTGCAGTGGGCAGCTGTTGAAGGGGCCTGGGGAGCAACTGGGGAAATAACCGTCATCATATTTTCAAAGTTTAGCTGGTTTGGGATTTGCTACACTTGATGAAGGTGATGAATTTAAATATGTTTCCATCTCTATTAAATGCTGAAAGAGCTGCGAGTAAAAAGAGTCCAGACCTGGTTAGAGATTTACGACGTATATGTCGCAGTCACATCAGAGTTTTATTGGCTCAGAGCTGAGGTAGGCAGGACTAATTAGTGCACTTGGTTTGTCTGACTGGTCCCCACACTTATGCAATTTTTTAAATTATTTGACTTACCGGTAGCTAAAAACTTAATACAAATAACAAAAACAAAGTTAATCTTTAATAGATGATAGATTCAGGGCCCACTATTTAAATGATTTCAAGTATTTATTTGTTTATTTTTACATAATTTGGGCTGCCAGCTCATGAAACCAACAAAAACAATATTAAAAAAAAATCAGAATACTGTGGAGACATCAGTCCACACTTCTCAGTTTTTGCAGAAAAACAGAAATAAATTATGATCAGAACAAATCAATCAAAATATGGTTCTTTCAAATCAATATATCAATCTTCAATAGTTGGTTGTGAATCTCTTTGTCTTAATCTCTGCCTCGATGTGACCTTGAGACAATCAGTCTGTGGCATTGACTGGGAGTTATGGAATTGAGACAATCAGCCTGTGGCATTGACTGGGAGTTATGGAATTGAGACAATCAGCCTGTGGCATTGACTGGGAGTTATGGAAGCCCAGATTTCCTTGATGCTGTCAGATCTTCTTTGTTGCTCTGGTGCTCCTCATGTTCCTCTTGAGAAGAACCCATAGATTCTCAATAAGGTTTAGGTCCCACCAGTTGGCTGGCCAGTCAAGCACTGTGGCATCAAACCAGGTTCTGGTGCTTCTGGCAGCATGGGCAGGGACCAGGTCCTGCTGGAAGATGAACTCTGCATCTCCATACAGATCCTCAGCATAAGTACTCATGAAGTCCTCTAAAACATTCTGGTAGACTGTTGCTGTGACCTTGGATTGAAGAAAGCAGAGTTTACCAACACCTGCACCGAACACTGCACCCAGATCATGACTGACTG